AGTCAGTTTGTAAATGGTTGAATGTCCTAATGAGGGCTTATGGACCATTTGACTATTTTTCAGTATTTGTCAGTACATAGGTGAATACAATTAGTTAGAGTTAGGAGGCGGTCGCACAAGCCAGAAGCAGTCAGATTGCCTAAGAAGGGCAGTGCCTAGCAGTGCTCACTCTAATGATGTTAGACTTTTATTTTCCCCGTGGGTGTTCTGTATGTTCTCCAGCACTTTTTGGGGTGGAGCTTTGTGCTCTTAGGAGTATTCACATAACAAAGCAGTAATTTGCAGTTTTTGTTCTTTGTAAGATGTTAAGTGACCATTTCTAGTATCATCTGGTCTCCATCTGTTTTGAAGAAGAGAGTAGACTCCCAGTATAAAAGACCACAGTTATAGAGCAAGTAATGAAAAGAAGAATGTATACCAAACTGTTAATACCTGTTGTCTCTATAGGCTTTGCTGGTGACTTTCACTGTCTACCTTGTGTCGTCCTTCAGTGTTTGAATTTTGCATAATGAATAATGTCACCATTTCTTAAAAACTAGAAGTTTAACTCTTAGTGATGGACATAGGTGCAGAAGCAGATAGAAGGACTTTCATTATTCTGGCCCCCAGCCCAACTTCCCCCCCCTCACCCGCAAGGATATAGAAGCTTGCTGAAGGCTTTGCTTATGTGAACAACAGCACAAAAAGTGTTTTTGGTTTTTTGGGTTTCTTGGTCATTTCAGTGGTCCCAATCCTTATGTGAACCAAATTTCCCAAAACATCCCCTAAGGGTGATATTGGCCCCATTTACAACCACTGCCCTATGTGGAGGATAGTGAAGGTCTACATTTGGTGTCTGTAGCATAGAGAGATTGAGAAGATAGAATTAACTGAACTTGTGAACTGATTATATATGGAAGAGCTAACAAGTAGAAACTGTCTGTGATGACCAGGGTTTGTGACTGGATGAACAATGGATTCATTCACTGTGAAGGGGAACTTAAAAAAAGAAGTAGGACTTGGGGTTTGAGTTGCCTGGAGGACATTTATAGAGAGCAGTAGTTGGAAATGTAGGCTGATTGGTTGGGGCAGGAGATGGATTTCAGATTATTAAAACCATGGGTAGGGGTGCCTGGGTGGCTCAGTAGGTCACGCATCTGACTCTTGGTTTTGGCTTAGGTCATGATCTCACGGTTGTGGGATTAAGCCCCACATTGGCTCGGCACTCAGCGCAGAGTCCGCTTCGGCTTCTTTCTCTCCCTCTCCCTCCCGCTTGTGCTCTCACTCTCTCAAATAAATAAATCAATAAAATCTTAAAAAAAAAGAAAGAAACCAACCATGGGTGGATGAGATCAATTGGAATATAGAGTAAGAACACAGCCAAGGGTGGAACCCGGAAGGACATCAATGTTGAAGTAAAGATGAGTCATTGAATTAAATGCAGAAAGGAAGGGCATTTGGAGAGAAAGGGAAACAGCTAAGGGAGAGCAGTGCACGGAAGCTAAGGGGTGTGCAGTGCTCAGTATTCACGCAGATTCCTTTCATGCAGCTTTAGCATGAAGTTCCATAAATGTTGGTTTTATTTTTTTTTTTTGTCTCTTTAAAAGGTGTTTATTGATCATATACAAAATAAAGAAAACCTTATATATCACAAACATACACTATGTACAGCAATAAATACCCGGGGTCCGGCCCAGTGCCGCCCCCCTGGACAATAATTTAGCAATAAATACTGCACAGGGCAGGGTGGGCACTGAGGCCGAGGCCCGCCCCAGGGAGGCCCCTCCTCACCTGGATCTTCATCAACCCCTGCCAGCCCTGGCAGGTCCCAGGGCATAAATGTTGGTTTTAATATGAAACTAGTATATTTAATTATTCCTCACCCCCTCCCCTCCCAGTCCCTCAAATTTTCAGGTTAAATTTTCTGTCTTAGGCTTCTTTATCTTTGGGATTCAAGCATACAGCACGGTTCACCATCCAGAACAAGCTTACCTCCAGTTTGAGAATTGTAGGTATGGGTTTCTACAGCCCTCTAGAATCCTAACAGTGGCTGGTTTTCTCCCAATTGCATTAATAATTTTGGCTCAGCCCAAAGAATCCTGCTGAGGTATATTATGAACCAAAAAAACTTTTTTTGAAGGGATGGAGGAAATTGGTTGATTTTGAAAGCTAAATGGATTTTTCAATTATATATTTCTGTCCATTTCTTTCATGAACTCCAGTTATGTCCAAAACATAGTTCAGGCAGTTTTAAAACAGTATTAAGAAATAGTCTGAACATACAGAAAAATCGAGTAACAATGAAAACCCACATACCCACCATCTAGATTTAAAAATTAAGATTTTTACCATATTTGCAAACATGGTACTCTGGCTTAGAAGTAGTTGGCATATTCTGGGAACAGAAGGGACATCAGTGTGGCTGGACCTCTGTGATAAAGGTCGGGGCACTGGGCCATGACTTGGAAATGGGTAAAGCCTGGGAGGGCCATGGTCGGAACTTGGATTTTATTATAAGGGCAGTGCACAATTATTGAAGGACCTTCATCAGTGGGCTCTTGTAACTAATCCCTAAAACTCTCTCAAATACTTGTCATGAAATCTGATGGTAAAGAAGGAAAGGGTTCCTTCCCCTGTGGGAAAGGCAGGCAGGTCGTTATGGTGAAAGGTGTCTTTTAACCATCTTAATCCTTGTTTATCATTGCTGCTTCAGCCCGGGTATCTCCATACTCTTGGGATTGTCAGTTCCAAAACTGTTTCACATCCTTCAAGGATCTTGCTGAGGTGTCTGAGGTGTGTCCACTTCTTGTTTTGAGTACTAGTTACTAACTATATTTCCTCAAAGTACAGTCTTACTAGTTTATATGTTCTGCAAAACTTTGGCCACATAGTATACTGATTACAAGGAATGATTGTGTCATGCTTCCTCTTTCCCTCCCAGAAACACTTTATATGGGTTCTCTTCGGCAGCTGTACTTCTGCTCTGACGAGGATTTGGTTTATGGTAGAACCTTTTAAAACCCCCTTTGCCCTGGAAAGTCACTTCCTCCACCATTGAGCCAAAACTGACAGTATCTCTGTTGCATAGCATCATAGCACTTTCTGCAAAATACCATTAAACATACCCACCCTCCACCCAGCATTGACTTGTAGCGTCGTTGCTATCATTTGCAGAGTACAAATAGGAAAGATTGTATTTTCAGAGGATTTATTGTGATTGTGAATTCACTGTGTTTATGGAAAAGCAACCTGCATTACCCCCCTCAAAAAAAAAAAAAAAAAGTAATGGGAAAGAATGATCCAGGATTTGTGGAGGTCTATGTCTATGAACATAACTTGTGTACCTAGCCAGGTAATCAGATAATGTAGCAGCCACTTGGGATAACTCAGCTATAATTGATCTAAACTTCTTGTCATAGACAAGATATTTAGATGTAATTTTATGCATCTTTGGATTTTTGAGAACCTGTGTTTGAGGACATTTCTCTTTGGTCCTGTGATTAAGCAGATTTACAAGCTGATAGGAAGATGGTGAGCTATCTAGGTGATATTTGGGTGTAAAGATTGGTCAGAACAGATCATACCAAAACATGTCAAGAAATAACACACTTGCTCATGATTTAATTGAAGGCTTAATGTTAGTGTTAATTTGCATGCTCTTTCCCCTTGAGTGTGTGTTTATAAACAGATAATGCAGGTCACTGTATCTCAAACTTTAGAGAAAAAGCATTCAAATACTTTATTCAAGTGAAGTCTTAGGCAAAGTTCAAAAGAAGTGTTAATGATGCTGTGCATTGGAGATATTTTATGTTGACATGGGGAAAAAAACTTTGGCGGAGGTGGGCGGTGGGCCCCAGGGACAGTTAAATACAGGAGTTTGGAACCCACAGTTTGAAAACCACTGACCTAAGTGATCTATAAGGCTCTTCTCAAAAATGTTATCTTTTGGTATCTTATATGAGGTTGTTTAATGTCTATGAACATAACTTCTTTCAGTTTATTTAGTAAAAGTAATTATAAGTTCTGACCTGTTCCAAGTTACTTCCATTGTTTGTCTTGTTAGTAACTTTGTTTTTTCATGGTGACTTCTTGGAATAGTTGATGTTCTCCTTTTACATGATGTAATATTGTGGTTTATGTGGTTGAAATATTGTTTTCTGCTACCCACAAAAAATTAAGAACTTCCAGAAGTTCATTATCCCTAGGCTTTTATCCAATGAGTTCCTTCATAGGAGATAGTCCTATCCAGGCAAAAAGAGTACACATTGAAACTGTCACTTAAGGGACTTGAGGATCTGCTGGGAGATTTGCCCAAGGCTCGGTCCAAGAGTCTCTCCAACTCTAAGACCCTAACTGACTGAAGAGAAGGAGGTGTGTGTCCAACTGGGTGCTTGGGAGGAAACAGTGTAAACACTGGCCAATGTGCATCTGGAGAGACCTAGAGAGTGAGCCTGTTGCTAGTGCTGTTTGGCTGAGCTCCTTACCTAGCTTTTTGCCTCAGTTTCCTCAACTGCCAAATAGAGATATCTATTAATTAAAGGTATAGTGCAGTGATTAAAGACACTTTGGATCAAGACAGACCTGAGCTGGTTTTATCGCTTACTACCTTGAGTCAGTTTCTTGACCTCATTAAAGTTCACTTGTAGATGGGAGTAATAATGTCCCTCAGGGAATTGTTTAAAAAGATCCCATAAGATGATGAATTAAAGTACTTAGTGTGGGGCCTGGCAGTACTATTTGCCCTGCTCATCAGCACCAGCATGTTCCTCCTCAAATGGATGGTTAGGAGAGCAGGTGATACATAAGGTATTTTGAAAAGTACAAAGTGTTCTGTAATTCTAAGATATCTCTGCATTATCATTTCCCTTATATATTTGTGGGTTTCCCAGTTCCTGCTCATTTTGAGTCTTGTCGTAAAATGACTTTCTCAAACACTGATTTTCTTCCCACGTTAGGATTCAAAAAGTATGTCTTCTATTGACTCCACTTTTTCTCACTTGTGCCTTGTGCTGTGTCCGCAGGTAAAGCAAGGCAGAGCTCAGCGAGGCGTCTGTCGCTGCCGCCATGCCGTTCCCATTCGGGAAGTCTCACAAATCTCCAGCAGACATTGTGAAGAACCTGAAGGAGAGCATGGCCGTTTTGGAAAAGCAAGACATTTCTGACAAAAAAGCAGAAAAGGTATGTATTTGGCTTTATTTTATATTTTCAGTCTTTTGTTTAAGAGCAAAAGTAAGACAGATTATGAGGTGATTTTAAAAGATCAATACATCCCAATTTGGGGTTTTAAAAATAGAGTCCTAAAGTGGCATTTGCTGCTGCTTAAACACCACATGCTTTCTTCTTTACTGCCATCTAACAGATCAATTTCTAACTTTTTTCTCAGTTTTTCATTTCAGGTTTTCAAGTTTGTTTAAATTTGGGGGGTTTTTTTGTTTTGTTTTTTGTTTTGTTTTATTTTGTTTCGTTTTCATTGTTGGAAGTGGTTTATCTGATTCCTGAAATCACTGTTTCCACTGAAATTAAACTTACACCTCTCCCGGTTTGCTTTCCTCCTTTCCTTATTCCCTTTATCCATGACGAGTATCTTCCTCTACCCAGTCACCGTAGTCTAAAACTTGGCTTTCATCCCAGTCTGTCTCCTTCTTCTTTAAGATGTGATCATTCACGAAATAGTATCAACCCCTACTTCCTAAGGGATTTATGAATTGATGCTAACTTCCATTTCCACTTGATGAAGACCCTCATGACCTTTCTTAAGGACCTTAGCAGTATCTTAGTCCTTAGTACTCTTTCTAAAATACCTCCCCTGCTTTAAACCTGCTGTGCAGACTCCTCCCATGGCATACAAGGCGCTTCATGATCTGGTCTCTGTTTCTCTAGGTGATTTCCAACCCCACTTCCCCTTATTCTATGTGCTCTAACAATCTCAACTTACCTCTGTTAGAGCAACCAAAGCAAATAATCAGCTATACTGTTTTTAATGCCTTTGTCTTATCTACCCCCTGCATTTCCACCTCAGCCGCCATTCATCTTTCAGAACCACCCTATACCTTTCTTTTCCTAGATGGCTTCCCAGAGTACTCCATTTCCTACCTCATCCTTGTCCCCTAAAAGATATCTCTAACTTTTGGCCACCTCCTTTGGAAATGCCAGCACTGCCGCCATCTTGAACATGATTTTATTTGTGTCGGATTTTTGTCTCCCTTATTAGAACATGAACTCTTTGACCCATGTGTTATTCCTGGTCCACTTGTGCCCTCCACAGTACCTGATTCCCATGGGCTGGATACCTACTGTTGTTTGAATGAGTGTTTCAGACATTCATTGGAATGACATTTTCCACCCCATTGTTTATTTTAGAAGGTTGTTTCCTGTCTTGGGCTATTGAATATTAGACTGTTTAACATCTTTTTAAGTCTACCTGTGTTCCTATGAAGAAAAGAAGTTCATAATCATGGGATTAGGATTTGTGACAGGCTACTCAGTTAGTAGATCTTCCATGGAAATTCCAGATAGTTTCTTGCATTCCCATAGTTAAGATATAGATAAATGTTAATGATATGGTAAAACTTTAAAAAAAAAAAAGTCTGGTGTAACAGATGATAGCTAGATTCTCATATTTGTGTTTGCATTCAGTCTGCCATCTTATGTTATTTTGATTGAAGTATATAAAGAAAATCTGGTCCATACAGATGTATAGGTGGGAAAGGGAGGTATATTTTAAGAAAAGCCTTTCAGATAATTTTGAATATTTTTTATACCAAACCAAAATTCAACAATTGATATAGTTCCTTGGTTGTAATAGAATCTGAAAGTATATGAATAAACTTTTCATGCTCTGCATTTTGAAAAGATCTTTTATCCATGCATGATTTTCTAACATTCATCATTTAGAAAGTATTGGATCACTGACATATACACATCTTCCAAATGCTGACACATTATACATTATAAAAAATTCACATTTTTCAGTATTACCACTAATCCCATCAGAAAAGTCCAAGTACTGGGAAGTGGTCAGACTTACGCCCCGTGTATTCAAAATTGAAATTTGGTAACAAATACTGTTGGGTGTTTTCCCTAAAAGTGACAGGTTTACTCTATTCCATTTTCAAGAAAATGTCTGCCAGATATCCAGGCTTGAATGATTTGTCAGTTTTCTTTCAAGTAAAAATGATTTTCCATTAAAAAAGTGGCTTGTTCAGCTCATAGCTCAAACAGTCATACAAATACTTTTCCTTAAGACAGCCAATTATACTTTAATTAGGGGTAGAAAGTGCTTTATGCACACTCCCCATTTATCACACCAAATATTAAAAAGACGTATGTGTACTCAAAGATCAAAATTTAATAAAATGACTGTTTCGTTCCTGCTTCCTCATGACGTTCCTAAGTGAAACTGACATTTTTGTTTTGTTTGTTTGTTACCTGAGTGCATGATGATGAAGATTACAATGATGGCAGTACAGTTTGCTGTCCATGTCTTGACTTGGGCTAGGGGGGTCTGTGCCATCAGTGCAGATGGCAGTATAGCAGAAAAAGGCAAATAATGTGTTAGTATTGATTGAAAATAGTTTTGGCCTCATGGTCCCCTTGAAAGGGTCTCAAGGGTCCCCAGAGGTCTACGGTTTGAAATCTGTGGTGGTTAATAGAAGGTGTTATGTGTATAGGTGGGTTGCATCGGGTAAGGGGAGTATCCTAATGTTGATGAGTTATATGAGGAAGCTTCATTGAGGAGGTGGCATTGGAGATGAGTTCTGTAATTACAGAAAGCAAGTTTAAGGTTGTCTGGATGGCTCAGTCAGTTAAACATCCAACTCTTGGTTTCAGCTCAGGTCATGATCTCAGGGTTGTGGGATCAAGCCCCGCTCTCTTCTCTCTCTCTCTCTCTCTCTCTCTCAAATAAATAAATAAATAAATAAAAATCTTTAGAAAGCAAGTTCAGTCTCTTTTGGAATCCACATCATCTACTTTACTAAATCAGTAGTTTTCAGCCGGGGCAATTTTCCCCTTTATGGGACATTTGGCAATGTCGAGAGACATTATTGGTTTCAACACTGGAGGGAGGGCTCCAACTGGCATCTAGTTAGTATAGGCCAGAGATGCTGCTAAACATGGAAAAGCCCCCCACAAGGAATTATTTGGCCCAAAATGTCAGTAACACTGAGGTTGAGAACTACTGCTTTAAACCTTAGCAAGAATAGACTTCCTACTATTAGGATAAACAAAGCAAAGAAAAATAGTTGAATTTATGAAAAATAAATTTCATTTCAAAGGAAAGGGACGACTCTGAAAGGCAATCCATGCAAATTACTTATTCTGAAGTAGATTAAGAAGAGGGAGGAGGACCCCAAAATTTCTGACTCACCTTGTTATCAAGATTCAAAAGGAAGTAGCAACTGATGCACATGGTGAAGAGGGAACTGAGACCTGAAAACAGTGAAAAGATGAAAATCTGATCACTCAGTTAAAAACCATGAGAAACAACTTTGACCTCATACTTAAGACTGAAGACTTGAAGGTAGTCTAAAACCATGCTTGCTATGACTTATTTAGCATTGTTCTGGAAATCTAGCCAGTACATAAAGAAATGGCTTAGAAGTAAAAAGTAATAAAGCTACTGCAAATAAACAGGGAAAATTACATTGTTGAGATACTCACATACCTGTATAAAACACAAGTAAACCAGTGTGAAAATGAGAGTTCGCAAGGGCAGCTAAATCGATAGAAAATTCATCGCATCCCTAAATGCCAATCAGAACTATCTAGAAATTGTAATATTTTAAGAAAGTATTTCATTTATAATAGCAACAAAAAAGTATAAGATGTCTGGGAATACTTTCATCAGGAAGTGTGAAGAGCCTGTTTGAAGAAAACTATAAAACCTTGTTCAGAGACACCAAAGAATACCTGGTCCGTGTTATGAGCTGTCATATAGTTAAGATGCCATTTCTTCTCAAATTAATTTTTAAGCTTAAAGCAATTTAATTCAAATTACAGTAGGATCTTTTTGTAACTTAAAAATTATTCTGAAGTTCTAGAAGAATAAATAAAATAGCTACAAAGTTGTGGCAGGATTGAAGGAATATAAATTCTACTTTGTTTTGAAACAAAACACTTCAAACATCCACTCACAGTCTTTCCAGCCATAGTTAATGAAACTCGGTCCTTCTTGTTTTTCAGGCCAAAAGTCTGGCGTCATCCATGACTCCTTTGTCATTTGCCAAATCCAGTTCATGAAGCAAATCCATTCACTTTATCTCGGTGGGGGGGGGTTTAGAAGCCAGAATCTAACCATGTCTCCCATTTTGCTGGTTACCACTCTGGTCAGAGCTACCATTATCTCTGCTCTGGATTACTACAGTATCCTTTTAACTGGTCTCTCTTGCCTCCCTACAAGCATAGTGGTTCTTTCAAAACATGAGCCAAATAATATTTCCCTTAGAGTAAAAGTCAGAGTCCTTACAAGGGTCTGAACTAAGTTCTACGGGCCAATTCCTTGCCTAGGCCTATTTTTGTAAGGCTGGTGAGCTAACAATGGTTTTTACATTTTTTAAAGGATTGGTTTAAAAAGCAAAGAAGAATATGCAACAGAGATCTTATGTGGCCTGAGAAGCTTAAAATATTTACTGTCTGCCCTTTAGCAGAAAAATACATGATGACCCTTTTCCTGGACATTCAGGCCTGTGGCTTCAATGGTCCCTTCTCCAGGTTCTTCCCTGGCATTGACTTCCTTTCTTCATACGCTCCAGTCTTGCTTTTGCCTTTAAGCCTTTGCATGTGGCTGTTTCTTTTGCCTAGAATGTTCTTCTCCAGCGCTCTGCTTGGCTTACTCCCTTATCACCGTCAAGTCTTTGCTCAAATGTCACTTTTCACCCAGCCCCCTATTTAAAATGCAACTGTCCTCTCTGGCATTCCTGTTCCTCTTGATCTTGCTCTATTTCCCTTTGTAGCACCTAACATTTTTAATATACTGATGATGTTTGTTTATTCTTTCTTCCCCCTGTTAGACTCTAAACCTTCCAAAGATAGCTCAGTGACTATTTGCATTCATTAAAAGTGGAATACATGGGGTGCCTGGGTGGCTCAGTTGGTTAAGCCACTGCCTTCGGCTCAGGTCGTGATCCTGGAGTCCCGGCATCGAGTCCCGCATCGGGCTCCCTGCTCAGCGAGGGGCC